CATGGAGTGTGGCGACTTGAACTGCCGCACATATGTGCAAAGTTCTATGTCGAAAACCGACAGATCGACCGACCCTTACAGAAGAATTGATTCAGTTAACATTTGTGTTGAAAATCCGAACTTTGTTCTTTATGCTGAGTGAAGTAGATTTCCACACTGATTTCAGAGTAATGAAGGTCTGATTGCCTTTGCGATTCTGGTTTTGATATCTTCATTCATGCCGCCTGTAGCTGAAAAGATGCTGTCTAGATAAGTGAAGGAAGTGACAGACTTATATTAAGGCTAAAAATTGTCGTTCACCTAGACGCGTTGGTGTGACACTTATAGTTCATTTTTGAAATACTAGGCATTGGCTACAGCAGACTAGATGTGATGCCCGGCCCTTTCATAATGAGTATTGGTCATACTCAGGTTTGTGTTCAGTTACCTCCTAACTAGATAAACAGATCTAATGTCCATATCGAAAAGCCAGGCACGTAAGCGCTTTACATTTGATGAAGAAAGGAAGACGAAATTTGCAGTATAAAATGATATCATTCTATTTCACAGGTTCTCATCAGCTGCAGACTACCTGAAATTACAATGGTTATATAGATTGATAATAACATACTTTAATGTTTAAGTGGTAGTAGAGAAGAAATACTATAAAATTGACGCATCGAAAATGTAAGCATTACAATTTTTAGTTTAAGTTTTCATCATCAATTTGTACGCTTTCAATGTAGAAAAGAGTGGGGAGGGGTAAGACAGAAAACATTAAAAATTAACAAACAGTGTTAGCTTGTAGGTTCACATAGCAACTCAAAAAACAAAAGTGGTTACAGTTTATAAGATTGAGATTTGTTCAGTGAGTTGAGATCACTGAATTAGATGACTAATTAATGTAATCAAATCAAAATTCAGTTACCAAGGTAGTGAGAGGTTAATCACACTCTCTTCCTGTATACATGAGTTTGGTTTGAATCGTTTGATTGCGATCGCTTCGGCAAATCGTAGTAAATTTCCTGTCCTTTGTCTATTTAATACTTTGAAGGACTTAGAAATCTCTACTAGATGTCCGGTATCAACAATATGTCTGGTAATTGCACTCTGAGAATATTTGCTTCCTTTCAGGCACAGGTTTCTTGGAATTTGTTCAGAAAACCGGATAGAAACCCTTTTTTTTCTGTACTTCCAATGTACTTGCTCCCGCAAGTGCACGTAAATTCATAAACGCAGTTGGAGGTGACATCAGCAGGGTATTTATCCAGTTTTGAGTGGATTATAGAAGTGGTGCTGTATAATGTTGAGTTTAGCTGCAGGGAAGCTTCTTTTTATTGCACCTTTCAGTCTTTTGTGACACTTCATCTCCTTTGAATGGGAGACAAATAAAAACTTTCTTCTTTTCTACAGCTGGGTGTTTTTCTTTCTTATCTTCTTCTCTGCTATACTTTTGTATAAATCCATTTTCTCTTAGGCATTTCTGCTGGTCCTGCTATCAGTAACTTAAAACCAGGTGCTCTATTTCTCTACACTGTTGCGTTGATATCTGCGGCTGTCATGTGAGACCGTGTTTCACCCCATTTTTCAATTAGTGCTGATCCGGAATAGGTACTTGACTGAACAAGATTATAAATAACGATTCGTCGACATGGGACTTTAAAGATCCTCCATTTGGCTTAATGTCTTTGCTTGAGTATTCAAATTACCTGTTCAGATGATTTTATGTAACCTTTTCGCTGTTGACAGCAAACTTAACAGCTGTTAAAACTCATTTTTACTTCCTCCAAACTGCAGCTATTTGACGCGTCAGCAGCATTGACGAATATCGCGATCTTTTATTTCCCAGTCAGTTAGGACACACATGACTGTTCATTGACACCCAATCAAGTATCAACTTTTCCACTCTTGAGTTCAATTATATCCCTATACCAACAGGTCAGTGAGAAGTGTCTAGAGGACCCCTTGACACTCAAAGTGTGAATTTTGTAGGCTCAACATGTTGACAAATTAGGGTTAGGTGTAAAACCAGTTTTATTTACGTGCGTCCCTCAAAGGCACAATATACACCTAAAGACTGAAATATTAGAGTTCTGGCTAGTGAAGTCTGTTTTCCAATTCAACATACGTACGTTGAAAGCTCCAAAATGATGTTGGCAATTGGGTTTGAAGAAACTAAGAAAGGTTGTTCCACAGCTAAAGTTGTTACCAGAGCTCACAACGTGACGAAAATGTCTAGGAAACAGTAGGTAATGAACAAGAGAATTTTGTGTGCATATGTGAAAAAATGAACGGCTGTACTTTCCGTGCTCCCACACCGTGGAAATAAATTTCTTCAAGTGCGTGAGGGAGAAAAAGCATTGGTGTTGCTAATCATAAAGGCCAGGAAACAACTGCGTCAGGTTAGTCAGAAACTTTCGCGCGTACAAAGGGCTTTACCATCGGCTACGTACAGCCGAAGTGGGTGATGTCCGACTTTTGGGCCCGGTTTCTGAACCGCTAATAGCTGTTTTACATGGGGAAACACTTTATTGATGCCTTTGTCCTTAGAACCTCCCGCAAGCGAGTAAGCAACTCGTACTACGATAGTAACTACTTTAGTTTAACCGCTATCTAAAAGATTTTTCCGGCATGCTGAGACCTATGGTCAGCATAGCTCATGGGGTTATCGCCAAATGCAAGCCTAATCACCATGTCGAGATGGCAGACATCGAACTGCCTCTAGAATTAGATTTTTCATCATAAACTGAAATAAGTGAAAAACCCATAAAATAACGGAGATCACTGAAGTGCACCTGTGATTCCTCAGTAGTATGCACCAACGACCCTGTACAGGATAGAGTTCAGAGGTATCAAGTTTCACTATACGAACACAAACCTAGAATTCCCTACGCCACGTACTCCAAACTGAGAAGTATCCGGGAAGCCAAACCAACATCGATCCTTGCATATTTGCATATAAGCAAATCAATCTAAATCGACACGTACATTCTTTTATAATGAATGAGTTATAAAAACAGTGGCAACTGTTAGTGTTTCAGATTTATAACTCAATAACTTATAAATCTGTCTTACTATGATTGGTTTTGAGTTGTCACCGCTGTGCTTACTATATCTTAAGGATTGCAGATTATTCTTAGCAGGACTGACAGATTGTCATATTCTGGTGTGTTGACACTTTTTCTCTTTCATTTTAATCCCAATTCAGATAGCAATTATCGCTGAATAAGATGACATACATGGGAATATTCAAATAATGTGATGTGATAATCATAATCGATTCAGCATTTGAACAAAGCAGAATAAAATGGTACCATCTTTTATTTCGTCGCCTTCTCGTCAGCTGCTTACAGGACAAAGACATTATTAAATGTATCTACAAAATTAATTTAACATACTTGCACAGAGTTCATTTTAAACAAAAATCAATCGATCAATAGACACATACACTAATAATATATACATATAGATATGCAATATTAAACACAATTCCGAACAGTAATACTCATACACATTGAAAACTTTTCAGTATCTCACATTCGGATGAAAAATATCCAGCAACCAGGACAAATAAAGACTGATAACCGCTTCTTTCTGGACGCACAAATCAGGTTTTAGGCGCTTGATGGAAATGGCTTCAGCAGACTTAAGGAGTATTGAGCTCTTTTGCTTATTGATAATTTTGAACGACTTTTCGACGTCCACCTGATGACCCGTGTCAAGGAGATGACTGGTGATGGCACTGTTTAAAGCATTTGTTTCCTTTAGACGTAAGCTTTCTGGTGCATGTTCAGAAAATCGTAGGTATGCTCTTCTTTCTGTTCTTCCAATGTAACTGCTCCCGCAGATACATGTAAATTTGTATATACAGTTGGAGTTAACATGAGAAGGATATCTATCGATTTTTGATTGCACCAAAGAGTAAGTTGTTCGATAGACGGGAACGATCTTAGCTGCAGGATAGGCTATGGCTAGTGATGTACTCAGCCTTCTGTTGATCATCGCTGCAATGTTTTCGCCTTTATAATCAAGCTCAAAGTAGATTGGCTTTTTTCTTAATGTGATTTGTTTTTCATTTGCGACTTCAGATCTTTCATACTTGTTGATGAACCTTTGAGGGTACCCATCGCTCTTCAATGTCTTTTCAAGAAACTTAAATTCTTCCTCTAGTTTCTCTGTAGAGCATATTCTTCTCTCTCTATAGTAGAGAGTCTTGACTAGACCGCGTTTAAAGCTATTTGGACAAAAGCTATTAAAATGTAAGTACTGTCGTTTCCATGTGAACTTTCGATAAATTGACTTTTGAAGACTACCGTCTTCTAGGCGTTTCATGGCGATGTCGAGGAAGTGGAACTTCCCGTCACTTTCATGTTCCATAGTGAACTCAATATTGGCGTGTGCATCACTGAATAATCTTAGTAAGCAGCTGACGAGAAGGCGACGAAATAAAAGATGTTACCATTTTATTCTGCTTTGTTCGATTCAGCATTATTGAAAACTTCCAGATCAACCATGCCTCCTTGCAAAACACTATACATTGTTCAAGTTAGCCTTAAAATACACCCATATTCTATGGTTTCATTGTATGATGATGACATGTTTAGCGGCCATACAACTGTGACCGTTTCACATAATTCCTTATATCAACGAACCTGTCTTATGTGTGTACTTTACTCCAATTATTCTTTATTATCAACGATGGGTAGTCATTTTCTTTATTTATTCCTTCCCACTTTATCAGGATTACTACCAGGCCTAAGCAAGATGAAGGAGTGCGTTGACCAGAGATCGAAACTCCGAACCACATGCATGCTTGGCGCCTACTCCTACAAATGAACCGCCCACGCATACTCATGCTCATCTAACTTATCTAACACAACAATACAGACTGTGGCTTGGCTTGTGTTAAAAATTGGCAAGCATACATAACAAAACGACAGTAATAGATTGAAAAAAAACCGAAGATGGTCATTTTCTACACGATAAGTCAGCATTAATTTGCATGAATCAATAAAAACAACTAGAGAATTATGCATATATTTCCATATTTTGAAAATTATTTTTTGTTTTTTTTTAGAAAAAAACAAACAAACAGCAAATAAAAAATCTAAAAAAAATCACAAAAAAGAGAAAAACAAGTGGAATGAAACATAATGTTCAAAGATATGTATGTAGGTTTGCAAGTGTGTGTGAGTGAGTGTAATTTATACAATGTAAATACAGAGAATAGTTGAAACGTCGTTACACATTATATATGTTGTATGTAATAAAGATAATTATAGTTTGTCTTCATTACTACTATTATTATTATTTTAACTATAACAATTATACTGGATCCCCTCACATGTCTTGAAATGTTTACAGCTCCAAACACTTTTTATTTTAAACAAAAATAATAATAATTATATATGTATAATATGTACAAAAGTAGCCTGTCATTTTCACTAAAATTTTGATGCTTTAAATAAAGAGAGAGGTATATCTATTTTATTAGCCTATATAAACAAAAATTGAAATTTGAACAAATATTGATTGAACAAAAAGCATAGAAGAAGAAGAAATACACCAACAATTTTATACAATCTGAAAGATACGGTTGTTTGTTTTTGTTTTTGTTTTTTTTTTTAAAGAAAAGATTTCGCTGTATATTCTAGCGTTCCACCAGGAAAGAATGTAAAAAAAAACAATTACTCATCACATAGTTTGATCTGAGTTGTTTGAGTACAAAACAGTGAGATCTAACAAGAAAAATAAATATAAACATATTCATAATGAATAAAAGTTCAAATAGGTCACATTATATAGTTGAGATTATGGAAAATCTTTTAAGATACCACAGTAAAATAATTTACGGGTGATTGGATTCTGGTCCAAGTGGCTGAATAGCCACCGAACTTAGTCCCATAACCCTGAAGGCCCAAGGTTCGATCCCTAGTGGGGTCGCGGATGTGCACTTCTGGGGAGTCGTAAACTAGGACGAAACAACTGTACAATGCTTCCCCCCCCCACATGGAGTGTTCAGTGATCTCTCTAACTGGTGCTGGTTCGTGACAAAATCTAAATTGAAATTTACAGTATTTGTCGCATATCTTCACTAAATCTATTTCTGTGAGAGATCAGTAAACAGTGAACTGTTGGTGAGATAGAGAATGTCAAGCATAGAAATGAAAGTTTCATTTGGTTTTCGCTAAACTGTGTCCATTACGGGGTAGAATATACGCTGCCCGACTCTACGACTGTCAAACTGCAATTAATGAAGGGATCTATGAAGACTTCATGTGTGTTCCGAACCTGTCTTCGCAAGTATCCATATGGACTTTGTCGGCATTAGGTATAGAGTTTAAGGTTCAAAATATGCGCATATATACTTAAATCTTAAACTTCATTCTATAAATATTACTCAGCTCTCACTTGCATTCCCATGCATTTGGCAATAAAAAAAACATACTGTGTAAGGACTAGTAATACAACTTATCTGCGCAAAATTTGGTGACTGGAGCGGAGTTTGAGGGAGTAATTCAGTTGCTGTTAGTCGAACACCTAGACCGATGAGCGACAAATCCAAATATTATCTCTCCACTAAAAAGTCTATAAGAACTAGCCGAAAAAATGCTCCTCACACTCGTGGGGTGAATTCTGATAATTGATCATACTGACGGGATTGAGGTTAATAACTACAATTCTATAGTAAGAATAGTAAAAACGGTTAGGAGCTGGTTGTAACTGTGCTTTCTGTTTGACGTAACATCATTCTGGTCAACTTACAAGTTATTTTATCGCGCTGCTTTACATACATGGTCATAACTGTATTTTGTATGTAGACAGCATTCGTTGCACTTAAATATTATTTCAGAAACTGTTCACCACTCTCTATATATTACTGATTGATTCGTATAAGTAGTTGGATGTTCTCACATCAACTAGTAATGGTTGTTAGCCAGACGATCCTTTGGGACCGAATTCATCAGCCGTGTACCCGATTCGACTAATTCAGCTCAGAGAGGAGAAGCAGTTCAGACCACTAAACTCTGATTAGCCATTGAGGCAAACGGGTGGGTTGGTGCTTATCGATGAAGAGTCCCAAACTAGGATGAAACAGCTGTCCAGTACTCCCAGGTTTTCCGATGGTTCTCTAACCAATGTCAGCTCATGATGAAATCCTGTAACCAATCAACCAAATCACCACAAACCAACACTTGAAAACAGGTAATATATATTGGATAAAATTCGCAATTCGCAAATTACCTGAATAAAGACTCTCTAATGCAGAACCAGTCACTTACTTTTACAATGAAGAAAAGGACACTCACTAGTTGGCTACAGTGTAGTTGTTTTTTTCATGATAATTTCTATTTACTTTTAGTAATATCAGCTTATAATAAAAAGTAAATTTTGCAAAATAACTACATATCAGATAATGAAGAATATTTCAGGTGAAATAATCACCCCGAAAATATAGATGCTTACTTTCCTTTTTTCAAGGAAAATTACACTCTATCACAGTGCTCAAGTTCTACACTTACATTAATGATCCTTTATTTATGGCCTAAATATCTGAGCGATTTCCATGTCATATAACCAGGTCACATTTGTTTTATGTATGTCTTAAATTTCTAAGGGTTTGATAAATATAATATGCCGTGTATTTTGTCTGATAAAGTTTGTTGACGTTCCGGTCGTCGTTTTTTCCAGTCTGACTTCTGTGTCTATCTCAGAGTGGGAGATAATTCCAAGTGAGTGTTGTGCTCTCTAGAAGTGCATCCTAGTCAAGTTAGACGACACCACGAACCAATATCAATCCATCATAACCATTAGCATTAAATCAATGCAATGTACAATACCGTGCGTCGGTGGCACTGCGGTTAGGACGCTCGCCGACCATGCACATGGTCTAGAGTTCGATCCTCGGCCACCTCAGGAGCCAGAAATAATGCTGGTGAAGAGGAAAGGCTGGGCATGAGGCTAGCAACCCCATCCTGTAAAAGTTAACACCACTACTACTGAAACTTTAAAGCTCTAGCTTGGAGCCCTATATTCCAATGGGAACGTGAAGGAAAAAAAGTACAATACCAATTATTGAATAACAATTGTAATAATGATGCAAAGTACACGCTAGTAACAATTCCCAATGGCAAACATGTATGTATGACTTACGTCTTATATATATATAAAATTTAACCTCTTAGTTAGGCAGCAGCTTTTGAAATAATTCTGTTAGATGACGATTCAGCTTGAACAGGCGTAGAACGATTATGAGGATTTCTGTCAGTGCTAATAGCGTTTCTTTCATGATTTGGACGTAATGTAGGCGACAGGAGATCAATAATTTCTCTTAAAAGTTTACTTGTTGAAGCATCAGCTGAACGTTGTGTTATAATTAAAAGAAATCTTAGCGTGGTGAATAGATTTGTGCTAAATTTTGTTGAGCTTGTAGGTGAGCCTAGACGAGCACGACAAACCGGATCTGAAAATACTAAACGTCTTATTATTCGAAGTAAAAGACGCATACGTCGTCGACAATGGGTACTACGTTTTGAATTGAATGAATCAGAAGAATTCTTTAGTGTTTCTTTTGAGACATGATGTTGTTTCATTTGAAGCAGTTGATCTTCTTCAGCTAATCTTAATAAACCTAATGACAAAGAATCAGTTGATGAAGGCACTAGTGCACTACGTGAATATTCACCGCCGTATAAAGATGCATAATTGGTTAAAGCGGTGATTGAAGCTTCACACAACTGGAAACAAATTTGATCTTCATAATTTTGTTCTTGAATAGATGTGGTTATTAATTTTTTCCAATCGTGTAGATCAGCTTCACAGACATTAGGCTGGATTGTAGGCAATCGATGCGGTCGCCACAAACCGATAAGACGAGCAAGTAAACCAGCCAATTTAGGATGTGGTCTAGCAGCAATCAAAATCTGCATTAAAACAAAAACGGAAATCATTCTCAGCATGAATAATCATCGATATATGAGTTTATTGAGATGGATACATATCCATATTGATCATCATCATCAACAACAATAACAACAACGCACTAGGAGATAATAATAAAAGACAGGTGATGTAATTCCAGTAGTCTTGGGATTGTGTGTCATGCTCCCAAAAATGTAAGGCGGAAAGGTGACTATCGTCTCAGATCTATCTATTAGTTCTTGTGATTTTACATTCACATATTACGCGTACAGCATGACTTAAGTAGACAAGAAACTGGAAACACAAAGTTTTTCGTAAGCTTTAGATACAAGGTGATAATATTTCACTTAACAAATACAAATTAGTGCTCTTGGAATATTGTGAAGAGTAAAGCTAATCTGAATACAGAGACAGAAGTAATCAGCTGCCTAGGGTAAACTTTCAACCAAGTCCTTATACAGAAGGAAGTAAAAGCTTACTTGTCTTTACCGCCATACATTGGTCATGAAAGTAAAGAGAGGTATCATCTTATATATTATCTGCAAATAGTACAGAACGGTAGAGTTTCACAGTATGAATAATAATAATAATAACAGCTTCATTCTGCTCAAAATGTTAACACAATAGACCGAATTCTCAATGCAATTTATTGCATAATATTTTCTCTTCATCCAGGATCTTCAAGTAAAATAGCAATTTAAAGTACCTCATGTGATACAATGTTATTTGACCTGAAGAATAAAATAATCCCTTATGGTACTTTCTTTTCGTTTCCGAGAAATGCATGCGAGTAGGTTGAAAGACGATTTAAAAAAAAGTATACGTCAGTACATTTTGCGACCCACCGTCATTACTGAATGGATACAACTATGAGTAATACAGAAAATTGCATGCAGTGTGTTGGATAGAAATTCCGCTAGCTCAGTGATTCAACCAGGTCACCATGATAAGATTCATCAACCATACGTTTCTCTTTTCGTATCCACTAACCTTATAATTATGTCTCAACTACAGGAGGAACGGACGAAGATGTTAAATCGAGAATCGGGAAGGCGAGAAACACATTCATCAACCTGAAACCAATCTGGAAATCTTCGTCACTCAGCATCAACAACAAAATGATTCGGATTTTCAATACAAACGTCAAGTCAGTCAGTTTTGCTATACGGATCAGAAACTTGGCAGCGGGTCACAAAGAATATTTCCAACAGGCTGCAGGCAGACCTTTATCAACAACTGTCTTCGCTCTATACTGAAGATCAGATGGCCGGAAAGAATCACAAACAAGAAACTATGGGAACAAACAAAACAAGAACCAATCGCCCAACAAATATGCAGGAGAAAGTGGAGATGGATTGGACACTCACTGGCTGAGGAGGCCGCTGGGTGACATCGTGCGTCAGGCCATCGCTCGAGTGGAACCCGAAAGGGAATCGGCGAGTGGGACGTCCAAGGGTGACATGGAGGAGATCGTGTGAAGAGGAACTGAAACAGTATGGACTAACATGGACGCAGGTGAAAAGTACAGTAGAAGACAGAAGCAAGTGGAGGCGTGCAGTTGAAGCCCTATGTTCCACTAGGAACCCAAGGGAACAATAATAATATAACCTTATAATTATCAAACATATAAGTTAGTCATCATGTGGAATTACCAAAGTGCAGCCATACAAGAAGCTGACATGTCAACAGAAGCAGAACATTTCAGTCCAATCAATCAACGGGAAAATCAAGACTAAATAAAAAAAAATGATAATAACTGAAACCTGTTGCACAAGAGGTGGCTTTCCTGGCCCAAGCAGTCTTGTGGATAACGCTTTCTGGTTCTAAACGATGGCTACCGGAATACAGACACATCCAGCCGACGAGTCTCAAATAAGACGAAATGCGCCTTATCCTGGATTCCACTGCTACTCACCATTCACCAAATTAGAATCATACGTATTTTTATGAAACCGTATTCATCTAGTTTGGTTCCCTTACTGACTGACTGTTCAACAACATTTCAAACACCTATGCACCTAGTTCTTGTAGTTTGAATGGCATACATTACTTCTTAAATGAAGGAAAGTAACAATTGTAATTTTAAATGCATAAGATTATTTAATCAAAAAGCAAACAAACAGATAAACTGTTTGATTAACAATAAGGCATTTACAATATCAGTAGTCCTAACGCCTACACATATGACGAATACAGGAGAAAAATAGAAGTAATCGACAATTAAGAAATTTGTTGTTGTCATTTTGTTGTTTGTTCACTTGAGTGTTTCCAAGTCTAATATGATGCACTTTTTTAAGACCGTGCTAACTTTATTGATCAGAATGTCAAACTGATACTATATAATAGTTAAGATCCGAAAAGTACAAAAACAACTGAATACTGTATTAGATTAAAAGAAAGAAAAAAACTACACAAAATTCTAATATAAGAACCAAAAAGTTTAGCAAAGAGTCTCTTTACGGTGGCGAATTCATTCACTTGGCTGTACAATCGCATTTATATATATATATTTATGTTGTGTGTGTGTACATTAGGATTATCCAAGAAAAGTGACTTTTCGAGTTTGATCACAGATTGATATCAGTTAGAGAACCATTGAAAACCAGGGAATACTGGACAACTGTTTCATCCTAGTTTGAGAATCATCAGCAGAATTACGCACCCACTAAGGATTCGCATTAAAATCACCAATTGGCAGAAGTTAGAATCCATGTGCCATTGAATCGGGTTCCAGTGGCTGAATGGTATACGAGCTTGCTTTGTAACCGGAAGGTCCTGGATTCGAACCCCCCTGTGGTGGGTGCGTATTGCCGATGATTCTCAAACTAGGATGAAACAGCTGTCCAGTATTCCCTGGTTTTCAATGGTTCTCCAACTGACATCAATCCGTGGTCAGACTCGAAAAACAAATCTAATCCTTACAAACTAACTCTTGAGAAATAAAAATTAGTTAGAGTTACTGTTTACATCATCAAAATGTTTCGAAAATGTGATGAATAATCAAATTGTAACTTGTGGGGTGGGTGGATGAAGATTGGTAAGTATTGACAAGGATTGCATAATATGAATGACACCCAGAAAACTAGGATGTTAATGAAAGAGAATGAAGACAAGTGTCTAAAATAGATTACGTAATAGATAGAAAGTGTAAATAAAGGGTTGGTTAAGAAAAAGATATCACCAAAATGTTTTTGATAACTGTTACGTAATCCACCTGCTCCTATGGAGGTAGGCATGTCGCCCATGCTCAGTGTTCAAGGTTTAAATGTATCATCAAAAATACTTACCCTTGTGTTTGTACGAGTGAGAAAAGAGATCCGCATCACAACTCTATTCTATATAAGGCGTGATCGATTCTGGAAACTGAGTGAATGCAGAAACCAACTTCAAAGTCACCTACGGATTATCTGGAAATCTTTGCCGAAGGGATACGAATCAAACCACAGAATTTATGGTAGTCCATATGTTAAATCCTGAATTCTTCATACGGAAGAAGTGTGCTCAGTTACTGGACCTACAGTCGACCTAATTTGTTTCAACATTTGATATGTAATTTCTGTTAATCCTAGTGATTAATTTTATTATTTTTCTTTCTCTACACCAATAAATTTCTACTCCTCATGACACTGATTGTAACTTGACACTTTCAGCTTTAGCTGAGCTCTACTTAACCCTGCTCACAATTGTGTTGTGTCACTAAATTTACTTATCTAACTTCATTTGACTTCCAACCCTATTAATTCCTCCTGTGTTACGTAATTGTCATCAAAGACTTCCAATTTTATTGACACATCTTTGGAAACATTCTTTTTGTCGCTATGATAATGTACTATATATATATATATATATATATATATATATATATATGTATATATATATATTAATGAATATGTGATAAGGTTAAGGGATGATAAGAGAGGGGTTGAAAATATGAGTAAGGGGTGGTGTAGAAATCATCAGTTGGTTATGTCTTAATAGGCCAAGGGAGGGATAATGGCTGTACGAACTTCTTTTGAATGCCTCAGCTGTGTGCAGCAGACGAATACGAAGTCTATTGGAAAGATTCAGTCGGATACGATGAATTACCTTGAAAGCCCTCGTTTTCTCCACTGCATCACCCCTATTAACTAAATGTGACAAAATTGAGCTACGGATTGTTTTTGTCTGTCCTTTGCCAAACCACGATGGGAGATGTTCACCAACAACACGTTAGCTAAGCTACCTTGTAATGCGCCCAACACAACTGTCACCGCGGGTGCAGTTGAGTTGATAAATGCACATAGATATGGAGGGTTTCATCATGAGCTGACATCAGTTAGAGAACCACTGGAAAACCTGGGAGTACTGGACAGCCCTAGTTTGGGACTCTTCAGCAGTACGCACCCATCGGGATTCGAACCCAGGACCTTCTGGTTACAAGGTGAGCTCGTAGACCATTGAGCCACTGGATCGGGTCCCAGTGGCTCAATGGTCTACGAGCTCACCTTGTAACCAGAAGGTCCTGGGTTCGAATCCCGATGGGTGCGTACTGCTGAAGAGTCCCAAACTAGGGCTGTCCAGTACTCCCAGGTTTTCCAGTGGTTCTCTAACTGATGTCAGCTCATGATGAAACCCTCCATGCAATCAAACCAAATCCCTACAAAACCAATACTTGCACATAGATATGGCAAAATTATCTAGCTTATCCTTCATTTGCGTTCCAATCATTCGTTGGCTAAAGAATGACAAACAAGGTATGCTGCGTAAAACGTTCTTCGTATAGCCTAGAAAGTCTCACTTGACAAGTCACCATTAAGTTGTGACTTAATAAATAGTAGTTTTTTACATGCAGTCATCGTCTCAGGTTTTCTCTCTGATGTTTTCATATGTTTCTTTATGAAACTAATCGGATAGCCCATCTCCGTTAAGAAGGAATCATGAATATATTCATCTTTCTTGTGTAAGTGGTCATCCGTACATATCTTTCTTGCTCTGCTCGTAAGACATTTAACAAAATTTCTTTTATATTTAATGGGCACGAAACTAAGGAAGTGTGTGTATTGCCCTGTGAATATGCTTTTTCTATACACGCTTCTCCCAAGTGACCCATCTTCTCGCCTACTTAGCAAGACATCCAGAAAATGCATTTTACTATCCTGCTCCTCTTCACAAGTAAAACTAAGCGAAGGATGGACGTTGTTGAATTTCAACAATTCGTCTATGTTTACATTCCCATCAGTAAATTTTTCATCGACATATCGGTAATACATATCAAACTCCTTGATGATGTCATTCAATTTCCCGTTTTCAAGTTTTGCGAGGAAGAAGTCAGCTAATATTTGGCCTTATGGTGAACCCATAGCTATTCCATCTACTTGTCAGTAGTATGAATTATTGAAGACAAAGTGAACATTCATTGTGCATTTAAGGAGTAATTCTTTGATGCTACACAAGGGAATTTCTAAGTCCAATTGCCTTTTGGTGATTTCTTGACAAATGTAATCTACGGTTTCCATAAGTGGTACATTCGTGAATAGTGATGATACATCATCAATGGATAACATGCGTTTATCCCTCACATTAGTCTCGGATATTTTAGAAATAAAGTCGAAGACATCACTAATTCTATGTCACACGATTTCTTTGTGCAAAGGTCCTAGAAGCTTCACTAACCACTTCGCTGTTCCGTGAAATGGAGAGTTATACATATTTAAAACAGGGCGAAGAGGAAGACCCGATTTGTGCACTTTGGGTAGACTGTAAAGACGTGGAGTATTGTTACCCGTTGGTTTCATACACGGTTGATGATAATACTCCTTTTTGGTTCAGTTTTTTGAGAGAGTCGGTCATCAGTTTCTCCACTATCACATTGAGGTCTTCGGAACTATCAAGAGGTCAGAATTTAGTTTGATCACTCAGAATATCCCCCATTTTCTCAACGTAATCGCTTTTATCCAGTAAAACTACACACCATCACCTTTATCTGGCTTGCTAATACTTATAAGCCTTCATTATTTCTAAGTTCTCTTAAAGCTTCTCTGGGTTGCTTAGATAACAGACTATTTACTGAATGTCTATTTTTTTGTATTGTTGGCAGCTGTCACCTAGCGTCGTTTGTGAACCTGGTTAGTTCATCGTCCGATGATGGGGTAAGGTCAGACGTCTGAGAATACAAATTTTCAAACTATATATATATATATATATATATATATATGCGATTGTACAGCTTGACAGTGATATCGCTAAAGCATCTTCTTTTATATGACTTGATGGAAATTTTTAAAATTAACATAGAGAAGTTAGCAAATATATTGCATAATAGAGAAGATTTGTAGCTCAGGTGGATGATTTGCAATTAATAGTGTTCTCTGAGCTGGTTGGTTTAGTTGCGGAGCTTTCGTCGTCCTTCTGGACAACATCTTCAGCGCCATATTTAGCGCAAAGTGAAATGATTTAAATTTCTTCATGAGTGATATAATTGCGTCTCCTGGTAACTATCTTTACATATGTATTGACCATTTTCTATTGACTTGGATTTTAAACTTTCTGGTCACCTGATTTACTTTTTATTAGTTGGTATATTTCGTCTATATTAACGTGCTTGTTAATTGCATTTTCGTTTGAGTACCAGGCTTCTAGGAATCCTCTGGCACTTTTCGTGTCTCCTCTGTCTAGGATTTTGACATTGTCCCAATCAAATTGATGACCATAATTGTCTATATGCATTGATACTAAAGAATACATTTACAAAATAAATTGTTTGAACTGCAACAAGCATTACATCGGCCAAAGTGGGCGTCCCCTTCGAATCAGAATCCAAGAACACAAATCAGCCGTGAAAAGACACGATATGTATTCTTTAGTATCAATGCGTATAGACAATTATGGTCATCAATTTGATTGGGACAATGTCAAAATCCTAGACAGAGGAAACACGAAAAGTGCCAGAGGATTCCTAGAAGCCTGGTACTCAAACGAAAATGCAATTAACAAGCACGTTAATATAGACGAAATATACCAACTAATAAAAAGTAAATCAGGTGACCAGAAAGTTTAAAATCCAAGTCAATAGAAAATGGTCAATACATATGTAAAGATAGTTACCAGGAGACGCAATTATATCACTCATGAAGAAATTTAAATCATTTCACTTTGCGCTAAATATGGCGCTGAAGATGTTGTCCAGAAGGACGACGAAAGCTCCGCAACTAAACCAACCAGCTCAGAGAACACTATTAATTGCAAATATATTGCATAACCAACACCCAAAACAAATGTCAATCTACAGTTTTGCAAATGTCTAATTACAATGAATAGTGGGGATTGAAATTTCACTCAAGATAGAGTTCAATAGAATAATAATTAACAAGCAGAAGAAAAAACAAAACTCAATGATATTTCACATTAAAATAACTCACTTCTTCAGCAGCCATAGCAGTTTTTTTAGCATCTGGTGCATTTGAAGCTCGTGCAGCTAAAGCTAATCGTACTAAATCAGCAACATAGCCTAAAAGTGCATTCATAGCTCCAAGTGCAGCAAGCATTGGTGCACATACATTGCTTACTGCAGGTAATAAACGAACTGAATGTTGATGAGAATCCGATTTTGTAGCGTGGATACCAGATGGAGATTTATAGCGATTACGAATACGTTGATTTATGGTTGACTAATAAAATAGAAAAAGAAAATCAAACATTCGAACATAATAAAGCAAATGGAAGTAAACAAGTCACGGAATATACACACTGGATAATAGGAATTATTAAAAAGACGGTTGCAGCGAAGAAAATTTTCTTTTCGACGAAGTCACCGTCAACTAGGCTGTATATCGGCCGTACCATGCGCCAACTTGGAAAACACGCTCGTGAACACTATCCAGCCTGGCTAGTAAAAGGAGAACAAAAACGTGTGCATAGTCCAGTGACAGAACATCTGGTCTATTGAGGACATTCAGCGCCATTCGAAAAATCCTTCAAAATAATATACAAGATTCCATGAAAACTATAAAAGGGAGTGAAATTAAGACATCTGGGCATAGCCGAAGCACTAGCTATCCAAAAGCTCAAACCCACGCTATATATATCCAAAAGAAATACGTCCAACCCTTGTCCCTGCCGTGGCCATCATAAACAGGTATTTCTTTTAGTAATGACCATCTCATTGCCTTTCTTATCCAAACTTTCTATTTATTCATGTTATTTTAAGTTTTTGTCTTAATCCCTATTTACACTATCATATTTTCATATCCGAACTTCCTGTCTATTTTGTCGTTTTATTATTTCTACATATTTAATACCTAACTGCATAAACAATTATTCGTCACATTAGTTATGATCCCACTAGATTTTGTTATCCAAACATCTTGTCTATTTTTGTTATTTCTACATTTCTAACGCCTGATTGCACAATATGTCAGTCTTCTCAGTAATTATGATGCTACTTTGTTTGCGTTTTATCCGTCCCCCTGTTTATTATGGCATTTTAATTCCTAATTGTAATTTTATTAATTTGATCCTTAACCGGAAATTATTCTAAAAATTTTTCACCCATTTGTTATAAATACACGAAAGTAAATAAGTATAATCAGTTGGCTCTACGATTATCCATAAGCTCCTATCTCCTTCCAACAAGATCTCCTGCATTTCACCCTCGGACCAACGCCCAACTCGTCATCTCCCATCTGGATTCAACTCGTGGGCCTACCTTGCCCGTAGTGTCTGTCACTCAATGGTCTTCTTAGTGTATGTGTCCGATCCATCTCCATTTTCTCCAGCATATTTTTTAGGGTAGTAGGTTCTTGGTCGGTGCGTTTCCAGATTTCCTTCTGGCTTAATTTTCCCAACTGGTCATCCGATCTTCATTGTGTGCTACCAGTGAAGGCAGCTATCGATAAAAGTGTGCAGTAGCCTGTTGCAGATGCTTTTCCTGACACGTGCCAAGCCTCTGAACGTGCAGAAGTACTGATTGACTTGATATTGGTGTTGAAAATCCGAATCTTGTTATATGTATATATATATCTGCAACAGGCTACTGCTACCAAGAACCTACTACCCTAAAAAATATACTGGAGAAAATGGAGATGGATCGGACACATACACTAAGAAGACCATTGAGTGACAGACACTACGGGCAAGGTAGGCCCACGAGTTGAATCCAGATGGGAGATGACGAGTTGGGCGTTGGTCCGAGGGTGAAATGCAGGAGATCTTGTTGGAAGGAGATAGGAGCTTATGGGTAATCGCAGAGTCAACTGAAAATGACTACAGAAAACATAATGAAGTGGAAATATACTGTTCAAGACCTATGTTCCCCTTCAGAACCTAAGGGATTAACGCAAACGTGCTGTTGAAAAGTGTAGTTTCGCCTCACTACGTCTACAGATCAGGTAAATGGCAGTGGTCATCACGGGAGGGGATCATTGGATTAAGCATTAGACTTTTGGACAGTCGATAATGATTTCAAATTTAGCCGCTTCTATCTAGGTTCAGACAGACTAATAGTATTTTCTCCCCTCAGATCACAGATATGGCTTATTGCTGAATGCATTATTGTGAATGCAGTTGATCAACCAATCAGTCAATATAGAAATATACGTTGCTGGTCGAATAGTGTTTTTTCTGGTATTTTGCAAACTTATGATCATTAACCACTTTCTTCTTGTGTCATTTGTAACCGATTATGCCATCACAGTTCACTCATCACCACTCTCTACACTACAATCTTTATAACAAACTTCTGTCATTAGAATGAGAAAATGTATGTTCTTATTTTGTTAATACTATGCTGTATATTTTAGGCTATCTGAAGTTGAAGAAAAAACTCGAAATAAAACGTGAACATTTTATACTACAAATCTGGTTTATCTTGCCCTGATGAAAGTGTAAATTAGTATTTTTTTTATTATTGTTGTCCACGGTAATTATTCAGTAAGATGAAAATAAAAGTAGTTCAGTACTTGATGTTGAAATTTATGAAGTAACCTTATCTTCTGATTTGAATTGTCTACAGATTTTATGCATTCCATTGTAAAAAGAAGTGCAACGAGCCGAAATTGGTTAGAAATGAGGGATCACCAGTAACCTGCCTTTTTTTTTTCTAGTGAGGGACTATTCAGCAATTACTTATTTATTTTATTCCTTTGAGTTCCTAGTGGAACACAGGGCTTCGAGCTAGAGCTTTGAAGTTTCAGTAGCAGTGGTGTTAGTTTACGGAGTGGAGTTGCTAGCCTCATGCCCAACCTTCCCTCCTTAAAGGGCTTACTACCGGCTAAGCGAGGTAAAGGAGATCTTCGGTGGCCGGGGATCGAATCCCAGCCAACTTGAATGGTTGGCCAGTGTCCTACCATTGAACCACCGACGCACACCAGCAATTTCGTCAGACGCTGAATTCAAGACCTTCAGATGGCCAAACCAATGGGTTGGAATTAATGATTCGTGAATTATAATACCTGACAATTCACGGTATAATGCCACTTGTCCTCCTACATTAACAGTGAGTAACCATCATCAAACGCAACTTTTTGGACATCAGTGACCACCACCAGTCAATATAATCGGCAAGTATTCATGACTGACTGGTTTCAACGTAGAACTTTGCACCGATGTGCAGCAGTTCCAGTTGCCACACTTCACTTAACACACAAAGCAAGAGTAGAGAGTAAAGAAAGATTCAAAAGAGAGATAATAAACAGAAATATGAGGCAAAAAGAATAGTAATATGCAAGAACAATATAGTTTTATTGGATATTATAAATCATAGAGAGTGGATGCATCTGCGCCAGCCATTGAGAACGATTTTGAGCCACATCACCAATTGTCTCCAGCCATTGGTTTTTACTGTCCCGAAGACCTCAACCAGTCAGGAAGTCTACACCTTCCTACGTGGCTGGCTTAAACTAACTGTTGTGGATTTCATTGACTGATGGAACCATGTTTTGGTTTCACCACCACTAGCTATTTTCCAACCTGACTCTATGTCAGTCAGCTAACATTGCCGGTCGGTCGAGGAAGGTGATGTCTAGGCATGCGTAACACATGTCCTAACTATCTCAATCGATGTAACTTCACAGCCTTGTCTATTGATTCCCCTCCACCTAGCACTCGAAAGGTACCCCATCTCAATATTGCTCATCCTATTATACCACTTAACACGGGAGATAGAACACAGACACTTATAATCAAAGACAGCTAGCCGGCCTTTTCATGTCTTCCACTCTCAATGGCCAGGTCTCACAGCCATAAAGGAGGACGGAGCGGACTGCTGAGCAGTACACACATCCTTTGGTCGATAGCCGGATACTACGTCTACGCCAGAGACGGGATAAACTGGCATATGCGAAACGAGCCTCCTGTATCCGTACCCAGCTGAGATTTCGTCAGCGACCAACCCGCTGGCGTTGGCTGGTGCAACTTCCCACATAAGTGAAATGGTCAACATACTCCACCCTTTCACTCCCTATCTTTAAGCTAGGAGTCAATATAGTCCAGTCCTGTAGCATCATCTTCTTAAGACACACTAATTTATAAACGTTGAACTCTACACAAACGTGTAGCAGTTCAAATGAAACCACTTCAAAGAAGCAGTTATATAAAGTGGTGAAAAAAGTGGCATGCAACTACAATGGGGAGATATAATTATAATATTTGGGCACTGTGGTAGAGTATAACTCCATTATGTTTAAGATTTTATTTTGATAAATCACACAGTGTTGTACAGTAATATTTACTGTAGATAAAGATTAGCAAGGGTGTTTAAAACTGGGTTAGTAACAAGGCGTACGTAGATCCACAACATTTTGAGCAATATGTCACTAAAATACTTCAACTATTGATTCTTAGCATCTCGAGAAAAGCCAGCTAAGTATTTGCCACCTGCTTAAGCGACTAAACCAGCGATCAAAGACATTGTAGACCGATGTCGTATTCTGGTCTCATCAACAGTAATTATTTTTCCAGCCTACTTCCTGTATCAGCTAACATTTCTCAACTAGGTTTTTATGCACGCAACACACACACGCAGAGAGGAAAGCTCAGCAACATCATAAAAACAATAATACGCATCATTTGTTTAGAGTTTTACTTCATTCATTTTGTGAAAAGCATTTTAAAAAAATGTATTACGACTTAAACTTCGTAACTACAATCGGATACATGGTGTGCTAAAAACTATTTTACAGTGGAACGAATTTCACTCTACTTCGATTTATTCTCCTCTAAAAAATGCATAGAATCAAGTAACAATTTTATTATTAATAGGCTTGAACAATTAATCATGATTAATCACAAAATAAGTGAAATTAAACCCTGAACACGACATAATTGTGAGCACTAAAAAGACATATATTGCACACTTTAATTATTATTGATTATACGGAAAGTTGATTTATGCACATTTCTAAAACAATATTCTCAATAGCTTAACCAACAAGTAGAATTATTGAAATATGAAACTCTGGTCAATTTAAATACGAGTTTAATTTCCTTGTAGATGCATTGATGGAATTGACTGTAACTGACTTTAGCGACTCAACTCAGGGATTGACTTATTACCATGGGGCAATCTTCTTGACTTAGAGTATGCAGATGATATTATCCTCTTAAATGAAGACGCTGATAAAATGCTGTTTTCTGAACATCTTGAGCAAAAATCTTCGAATGTTTGGCATACTATTCGTTCTGTAAGACTGGACTACACTAACTCCTAGTTTAAAGATATAGATAGGTAGAGCGTGCTGAGTGCTGCATTCATTTTTGAAGTTGCATCAACTTTAATGGACTGATTGCTAACGAAATCTCGTGTGGCATTTGTTAACTTACGTGACCTGTAGCACACGCGTGATCTACCGCTATCGATCACTTACGGCTGTAAGAAGTGGGTCAATGAAAGTGGCTGTCTTTGATCAGAGACATTTATATTCTATGGCTCGTGTTAAGTGATATAATGTGGTGAGCAATATAGAGGCTAGGCGTAGAGTGCTAGTTAAAGACGGTAAGTCAATAGATGAGGTTGTGAAATTGCATCGACTGAGATGGCTAGGGCATGTGTAACAAACGCCCAACCACTGCATCCATTGATGGGATTACGTTAGAAAAGAGTAAAGGATGATCGAATCGACACCTGCACTCCGCCTAAGTCAGCCATGTAAGAAAATGAAGACTGTCAGGTGGGGTCTTCAGAAATCTAAGAACCAACGGTTGGTGAATACTGGTGACATGGTTCAAAATCGTTCTCAGAGGCTGGAGTAGATGCATTCACTCAATGTGATCTCTCATATCCATTAGACCCTCATCTTTTTTCGTATTACCATTCCTTCTCACTAACACTTCTGCTCACCATAATCCTTTGGGTCACTTTTTGTTCCTTTTTGTCTGTCTTTGTGTGCCACATGGAGTGTGACTAATTGAACTGGTGCACTCCTGTGCGTTGAAACTCAGTCAGTCAGTCAATCAATCAAGTAGAGTCACTAGACAAAGACTCAAGGCCGCAATTAATAGAACTTATTATGTAGCTAAACTTATCTTGTAAACCCTCACATTGTCTGAACGATAGTGTCACATCCCATTGTGATCAATTTACATATATGTGTGGACTCACATACAAAGGGAGACCATCGGTCTCTGCAGGTTAAGGCTACAGAACACATTGCAAAGTGGCTACAACAACAAATAAAAGCGCCAAAAACAACTGACCCCAGAAATAGATGTCCAACATCATCTATACACCGAAGCACATTATAGAGACGGGTCATAAGGTTGATTTCAACAATACCTTTAAGCCCATACATAAAACAAGGTTGGGTCACCTACTTAAATTCGTTGAAGCCTTGACCATAAAAAGACTTAAACCTGTCTTATGTGTCCAAAAGTTATTTGTTATTACTTTAAAACCTGCCTTGGTAATCCAATTTAGAACCAAGGATCAATTTACTTCATAACATTTTCAACCCCTTCTTTGCTTTGTTTTTTTCTCTTTTTCTCTTTCTTACCCACACCTTTGCGTCATCTCCCTACTCATTATTTGTGACCTTGACCTGTATACAATCTGACCTATATTGTAATTATTCATGCCTTCTATAAAAACTGTGTATGACAAGTCCTCGTGTGTGTGATCAGAATGTCCGAAATGCGTTGCGCAAATACATTACACGTTTCAGATAAACCACGTCTTCTTATTGTGTTGTCGAGAGTCATTTCTGTAAAGAAAACCTTGTTCATCAATGGAGTGTAGGACTTCAGTTTATTTCTCCTACACAACTGTTAAGAATGCATACATAGATGAGTATGGTTAAACTGACGAGTAACCAATTAGCATTTGTTCCTTGCCTTTCGAGTTACACATAGGACTTCTCTGCAGTCAGTTTTTTGTCGTCATCATTTCCACCTAACTGCCTGTGAAAACTTTCATTTCCTCGCCACATACTCTCCTCTAAGTCACCTTCGGACACTCAGTCAGTCCTACGCTTCCGAAACAGGTTCGATTCAAGCGGTTAGCAGGTCATGTATGTTACTTGAATGTCTCATTAGCGTGTACCCACACCAAAAGCACTATGTCTTGTTAGAGAGAATGCAATTAAGAACAAAACAAACTAAATAAATATAAAAGAACAACAATAATAGCATCAACACTAACCTGTTTTCCTGGAGTGTACAATTTTTTATTTACAATCTCTGATTGATTTCCTTCATCATTAGAATTTGTCTCCGGGACTAGTATCTGTCCAATCTCTAAACAAGCGATTGTAACCAATTCTAAAAGACGCAGTTTTATAATTAAATAATCTGGTTTACACAGGTTAGACCAACGGAATAACAACGGGATAAGTTCAAATAAAGTAAGGCAGAGATTTGATGTCACAGAGCCACCACGTGTTGACCCTGTCGACGATGAAAGCGGTTGACATGATACAAACGAAGATGATGATGATGATAGAAGTTGTGAGGCTAATAAACGTACCAAAGAAATATCTAATCCATAAGTGGAGAAATTTTTAATAAACATATGTGTTTCATCTATAATTAATTGCTGGATAAAATCCTTTGTAGAATCATAAATTTCTTGATTTTTTGAAGTATTATTATTATTATTATTAATCGGAGGATTAGAAGTTGGCGTTGTTAGTGTATTATTTGAAGATGAATACTTTACAAAATAACAATCATGGGAAGCACATTTCAGCAGTAAACAAAACAGGCGTAGAAATGCAGTCGGAGCTGTAATTTCAGGGCATGTGAGGAGTGAATTACCCTGGAAGTAGAATATTTCAAAGGGAAAAAGAAATGATAAACAAATTGTTAAATAATTATGAAAACAATATCGACTTACAAGTATTAATTCAGAATGATGAAATAAGACAAAACTAATTTATGTAGGGTGAAAAATACCTCACTGAGAGTCCTCCTCCACACACATTTTAATTTTTTTTTAACAAAAATTAACTGGAAGCCAACACTGGTTCAATTATATAACGACTGAAGTTTCGAGTTTTACTCATTAAGTCACAATCCATATCTGGAAAATATGTTATACACACCAATCCCATGGCTTCCCTTGACGAGTTATACTATCTGACATTTAATTAGATCGGAAAAGAGCTGGAGGAAGGGTTGGTCAGACTGAAACAAAGCATCATACATCCATGAAGACCCCCACTAATCAACTATTGAATAAGAAATGCATTTAAAGCACTTAACATAAGCTGCCTGACAATATAATCTCGTGTTGTATGACTATTTTAACAATGCCATGTATATTCAGTGATTGGGAATTTTAGATAATCACTGACCAAACAAGTGCGTCGGTGGCATAGCGGTTAGGACGCTCGTCGATCATGCACATGGTCCGGGGTTCGATCCCCGGCCGAGGCACTCCCTTACCTCGCTAAGCCAGAAATAATGCTGGTGAAGAGGAAAGGTTGGACATGAGGCTAGCAACTCCATCCTGTAAAATAAGCACTGCTACAGAAACTTCAAGCCACTAGCTTGAAGCCCTATGTTCCACTGGGGAACGTGAAGTAAAAAAAAAACTGGCCAAACAAGCTAGTTTCGAGTGGAATAAAGGGGCCTCAAGATTGAGCTTTGGCGTTTAAGTAGAGGCAGTGGTGTTGTTTTTACTCGATGGGGTTTTTAGCCTCACGTTCCAACTCTCCCTCTTATTCCGGCTTACTACCACCGGTTAGTGAACTAGGCGAAACATAGGAGTGCACTGGTGGGGCACCGACTCCAGATCCCGCTCTTGGTTTGCAAGCTTTCTACCACTGAACCACCACCGAGGCAGGTTCGTGATTATTATTATTTGATAACGATCATTTCTAAATATGAATAGAGCATCATAATTATCAAAAAAAAAACAACTTTGTTACATCTATCATGGCAAACACAAGAAAAGATATGTTAAATTTAAAGGAAATGACACACCAATAAAATAATAACCATAACCCCCACACACACACGCGCACACACACACACAGAGATGTACACGCGTTATAAAAGAAAGAAACATACAAAATTCACTTGTTAAGCATGTGCTAGGGCGTTGTGTTAAAAAGATAGATCGAAGAGAACTCACAGTCATCGAAAAATCGAAAATGGATACCCTCGGAAGTTCATATCAAAATATGGAAAGGAAAAAACACCTACACCGAAACCCGAAATAGTTGAAAAGAAATCAGTTTTTAACTGTCTAGTGTACAAAGGCGAAGAAGTATCCATGAAAACGGAAAACAGAATTAAAGGTGCATAGGAAAGAAAATTTCCCGCTGCTAGACTCATTTGACTTTACAACACAGTATGTTCGTTAACCCAGTCAAAAGTAGATAAGTATCCTGCTCTGCATGTCAACTCCAACTGCATTTACCAATTCACCTTCACTTGGGGCAGCAATTACGTAGGAAAGACTGAGAGGAGAGAGTCTACTAGATTCTCCGAGCATATCCCTAAAAGTCTCCGTTTACAAAGTGTCAAATGCAATCGCCAGACACTTAATTGACACGCGATATACAGTGGAAATTAGTCAGGCTTTCAAAATAATCAATACACAAAGAAAAGCATGGTTACTTCAGTTCGCAGAAGCCATTGCCATCAAAAGACTTCGACCCAACCTATGCATACAGAAAGATAGTGTGACTAATCTCTCACTACACTACCTGGTAACCGTAATTGTTTTGTTCGTGTGCTTTTCTGTGTTTGTTCTGCTGGGTAACATTCTACTCACTTGATTTTGATTTTCACTCACTGAGTTAAACTCACTAATAAGGTTTCAAATCTACTAAATTACTTGATTTTATCTATTTTATAATTTTACTTCACTATTCATCCCAATCCTCCTGAACTCTTCATCATAATATGTATAAATTAACTCTGTTGTTCTATCGTGTATTTTGCCTCTAGTCTATTCCTGTTTCCAAGATAAATCAGAACTCCATCCTTGTCTATTCTGTATAAATAGTTACCTCTTTTAACACTAAATAATTGTCTGCTTACATCATCTTTGAAATTAATTTAATACAATTGCAACGTATAATTGATTTATTTAGGATGTACGCAGTTGAAGAGAATCGATGGCATAAAACGAGCTCGTATTATCCTGCAAATATGTTTGTTCTTTCTTTATTCAAACTTATAAAGGGAACCGACTGTATGAAATAAAACAGATTATTAAATACTACAGAAACAGTATGCAGTTATCACGTAAGTGACAACAAAGAAGTCATGGATTACTGAATTCTGAAGCAAACAAGTTTTAGACTGAAACTTTGATTAGCTAAAAATACAATCTCCCATGCATTACGTAATATATGGATGGATGCAATACCTTAAATATTACAAGTATGAGAACACATTTCTTACATGTAGTGATTCGCAATTGATGATTGTATGATACAAAAGCGAAATATCATACTCCAACAGCATTAAGTGTTTTCAAAACGCGGAAATGTTTAGATAAAAGAGTATACAGTTAGACTGATATAAGTCACAGGAGCCAAGTGTCATGAAAACTCTAGGAATCAAATACTTTCAGTCACATTACCCGTAGGTTTAAATACACGGTCAAATAACCACAAAATTCAGGGAGTAATGGACAGTCATTTTGTCCTAGTTTAAGACTCCTCAGCAGTACACATCCGTTATCCAACCAGGGATGGAACGAGGGACTTTCAGGTTACAACACAAGCTCGTATGCCATTCAGTCGCTGGGACGTCTACAGATTAGCGATATATGGCGCGACAGCCAGCCAACGGTATCAATGAGTAACTATCCTCACATCCAACATGGTGGACCCAGCTGATCACAACTCCCAATTAGAACTTCAGGAAACTTCATGCTGTGGTGATGAGCCAATAGAGAGTACTAGATAAGAGTCCCAAAAAGGAGGAAAAAGACGTAAACAGCGAAGAAAATTTTCTCTTAACGACGATTCATTTTCATAACCTGTACAATAATCGTAATTATATATTTGAAAAAGAATTCGTAAGACCAATCAGATACTGGTAAAATTTGTCCTCGAAAACGTATTACGTTTAATGTAAGGTGTAGTCTAGAAGGGGTGATTAACTGAAAATTCGAAAAGGCAGCAGAAGTTGGCATGACGTAATAAGTGTGAGAAAATGACTAATCAGTATAATTGTGTAGAGTGTACAAGAACTAGTGCAAAGACGATAACGTGTTTTTTTTATAAAATGTGTATGAAAACGCAATGTTATTAATAAACAGTAGTAGAGTGATAACAAAATAAAGATGATGAGGATAAGTCCGCAAACGTATTCTGGAACACTGTCCAGCTTGGCTAGCTAGCCAGAGGAGAAAAGAAGAATACTAGCAACTCCATCCTCGAACACCTTGTCATCTATGGGCATCGAGCACCCCACATGAATGCTTCACAATGCTACACAGAGTCCCTCAGTATCGTAGGAAAGAACTTCGCATACGCCATCTGTACATAGCTGAATCATTGGCTATTCGGGATCTGAAACCGGACGTCTGTATTCAAAAGTACCACATACATTCCCTCGCCCTACGGTAGTCAGAGTAACGTTCTCACTATAATTTTGCTTCCTTTTATGTAATAACATTGGATTTTTATACACATTTTATAGAAAAAACACGTTATCGTCTTTGCACTAGTTCTCGTACACTCTACACAATTATACTGATTAGTCATTTTCTCACACTTATTACGTCATGCCAACTTCTGTTGCCTTTTCTAATTTTCAATTAGTCACCCCTTCTAGACTACACCTTACATTAAAAGTAATACGTTTTCGAGGACAAATTTTACCAGTATCTGATTGGTCTTACGAATTCTTTATTAAATATAATTACGATTATTGTACAGGTTATGAAAATGAATCGTCGTTAAGAGAAAATTTTCAATATGGGAATATTTCGTTCAAGGAAGAAAAACCTATCCAGTAACACCCTGGATTTTAATGGTTCTCTAACTGAAGTCAATTTGTGATCAATCAATCAATCAATCGATCAAATCCCTGAAAACCAACACTTGAAAAATACAAAATCGCCTGTTGCCAATTTACTTTACTTTCAATTAGTAAGTCTCACAGTTGAAGACAGCTTCACTATTCAAATGACACATACACGATACGTGAGGCTTACAACGCAATACGAGTGACCTAAAAGATTTAAGGTTAAACTCTAAAACCTTTGAAACCTCCACCCTCCCCAAAAAATACTAAAAAGCATGTTCCTACAAAATGCATTGAATCTATCACTGTTTTTTAAAATATTTTTTATATTCCTTCACGTTCCCAGTGGAACATAGGGCTTCAAGCTAGAAGCTTGAAGTTTCTGTAGCAGTGTTTATTTTTACAGGATGGGGTTGCTAGCCTCATGCCCAACCTTTCCTCTTTACCAGCTTTTATTTCTGGCTTCGAGCGAGGTAAAGGAGTGCGTCAGCCGGGATTCGAACCCCGGACCATGTGCATGGTCGGTGAGCATCCTAACCGCTGTGCCACTGTTTAATAACACTCTGGCGCATAGACGTAGCATGAATTAAAGTGTGGAATAATCGATAATTGCACTAAAGATTCATATATATGTATATACACACACACACACACATAAACTCAGTTAAATGTTAAACAAACAATAATGTTAATGAAGAAAGAGATGTTTACAAGCACTAGAAAACGCACACACACACACACACTCACACATTGTGTTAATGAGAAAGAAGATAGTTAACTTCAAGTGACTTCAAGTATTCATATATGTATAGAGATATATTCTCA